TGAACAGACAGGAGCTGGAAGGGGAGGAGAGACTCCTCCCCTGCTTCTCAGCGATCGTTACCCGGGCAGCAGCATCTGTTGGGTCAACCATCTTCTCTTTAGGGGCTGAATTGGGATGGCAAATGAATGGGCAGGGGATACAGCACCAAACTGGGAGCCTTGACCCCACTTGCTTGTCCTTCTGCAGGTGACAAGCTGTGACAGAAAAGCACGTGGGAGGTTCCCCGCCTCAGGTCTGCTTTAAAGCTCCTGACCAGCTTTCCTGACCCTGCACCCCGGCACAGCCATTGGACTGAAGTGCTAAGATCACAGCATTACTCGTCTGTCTGATCTCATTTGTACGTGGCCCCAGCAAAGAGCCTCACACATACAAGGTTGTCAATAAATACTGAAATTTGAAGACTAATGTAGTGGCACAGTGGGTTAAGCCTCCATCTGAAACATTGACATTCTCCAGTTCAAGTCCTGGTGATTCCACTTCTAATCTGGCTCTCTGCTGATGTGCTTAGAAGACGGCTAAGTACTTAGGACCCTGCCTTGCATTTGGGAGACCTGGATGAAGTTCCAGACCGCTGACTTCAGCCTGACCCGAGTCCCAGCCGTTGCAGCCATTTGGGGAGTGAGAAAGTAGATGGGAAATCTCACTCTCTTACAAATAAATAATTTTTTAAGATTTTTTTTGAAAGTCAGATATACACAGAGAAGGAGAGACAGAAAAAAAGGATCTTCCATCTGCTGATTTACTCCCTAAGTGACCACAACACCCGGAGCTGTGCTGATCTGAAGCCAGGAGCCTCTTCTGGGTCTCCCAGGTGGTTGCAGGGTCCCAAGGTTTTGAGGCTGTCCTCCACTGCTTTCCCAGGCCACAAGCAGGGAGCTGGATGGGAGTGAAACAGCTGGAACACAAACTGGCACCTATATGGGATCCCGGTGCATGCAGGGCGAGGATTTAGACATTAGGTTACTGCACCAGGTCTCTGAAACAAATCTTTAAAAATTTTTTAAGAGGGGGCCTGGTGTAGTAGCCTAGTGGCTAAAGTTCTCACTTTTAATGCACTGGGATCCCATATGGGTGTTGGTTCTAATCCCAGCAATATCACTTCCCATCCACCTCTGTTGTGGCCTGGGAAAGCAGTCAAGGACGGCCCAAAGCTTTGGGATCCTGCACTCATGCGGGAGACCCAGAAGAGGCTCCTGGCTTCAGATCAGCTCAGCTCCAGCCATTGCAGCCACTTAGGGAGTGAATCAGTAGATGGAAGATCTTTCTCTCTGTCTCTCCTCCTCTCTGTATATTTGACTTTGCAATAAAAATAAATAAATCCTAAAAAACATATTTTTTTGAGGAGGGTCACAGGATTTTCCAACACTGGATGGTCTCTAGGCCCCAGTCCCCTCTGGAACTTGTCCCTGTTGCCACGTCACTCCTGAGGAATCCCAGAGCCCAGTGCGCCCTTGCAGGTCGGAGCAGGTGTGTGAGCTGTCCATGGTTCCCAGGCCTCTCCGCGTCTCTTCAGATCCTCAGTTCCCGGGGCGTGCGTTTGTGATCTTGCTGGAAGGCTGGTCCAGAGAACGTCCACTCCCTGGGCACCGCCCCAGCCTGCAGTGTGAGCTCCTCAGACGAGGAGGGCTGGGCCTTGGCTTTGTCCTATACAGGACGGTGTGTCCCAGGCGGTCCTGGAAGGCGCTGAGGATGGGGTGTACGCACTGTGGCCTGAGAACTTCACCCTGGCTTCAAGACTTCATGCAGAACACTCATGAGCCCTCTCTTTCTGTGAATGGTTATAACCAAACCGACTTTTTTTCAAGATTATTTATTTTTATTGGAAAGGCAGATCAGATTTACAGAGTAGAAGAGAGATCTTCCATTTGATGATTCACTCCCCAAATGGCCACGACAGTTGGAGCTAAGCCACTCCGAAGCCAGGAGCCAGGAGCTTCTTCAGGTCTTTCACGCAGGTGCAGGGTCCCAAGGCTTTGGACCGTCCCCTGCTGCTTTCCCAGGCCACAAGCAGGGAGCTGGATGGGAAGTGGAGCAGCTGGGACATGGCACAAGTAGGGAGCCTGGCACAAGTAGACAAAGAATTAGCCATTTGAACCATCATGCTGACTCCCCATACTGTCCTTCTGATGTGTGGATTCCTCTTGTGATGGCTCTGAGGCCAGAGGGAAGAGACCAAATGTTCTCATCTATTTCCCCGATGCTGTCCTAGGCTCCATGTGACGCCTGCAGTCAGTGCACAAACCAAGGCAGCGGGGTTTTCATTTATGGCTGCAGGACACCATTGGGGCAACGGTGCTTTCACCAGGCCGCGTCTCAGCTTAGCTCAAGGTGAGCAACAAAACAGTACAGGCTTTGGACACAGGTCTGTCTCTGCCATGGGCTAGCTGCAGCACCTCCCCAGGGCTCAGAGTCCACACTGTCAGAAGCCAGGACTGTGTCCTCTTGTCTGGGTCAGGAGGGATAATCTGATTGCCTTCCCCCTCCCACATTCCCCCTTGTCCAGTCACCCTGTGTAGACTCCAGCTGTGCCCACCTCTGTACAGAGGCACCCAAGTCACACCTCAGCCTGTGTGTGGACAACTGGTCTCATCAGGGGTTTTGCGAGGGGAGCTGGGAGAAGGAGCACAGTGGCTCATGGGAACCGTCCAGGGACAAGAGCCGAGAGGCACACGATGGCTGGAAGCTGCTCATGAGAAATCAGGCAAGTGGGTGAGTTAGAGAATGGCTGGACACCCACCACATGCAGCAGGACAGAGCATGCTTCAGGCTGACAGGAAGCTTATAGGAAGCAGGCCCTCCCGTGTTAAGCTGAGCAGTAACAGGATATGGGCTTGCGCTAAAAGCACCTGGTCTAATTGGACTCATTGGCATCCTATTGTTTGGTTAAAGGGCTTGGGGGAAAGAGTATAAAAGGAGTAATAAAGGGAGGCTTCAGAGAGACTTCCACCATCACTGGTCTCCTGTTGGTGCCTCATCCCCAGACCCTCTCTGTGTCCACGTTACTGGCTCTGCTGGCCAGAGCAAGTGTGTGTTGTAGAGAAGGTGTGTGATAGAGTGTTGTCCATGATGCTTTGGTCTCTAATTAGGGGTGCATTTCCCACTGTACCAAGTGCTGCGATGGGCGGTCTGGGTGGGCGGATGCATACAAACTGAGAAGATACAATTGTGTATGAAATATTTATTTATTTATTGGAAAGGCAGATTTACAGAAAGATCTTCCGTCTGCTGGTTTATTCCCCAAGTGGCCACAATGGCTGGTGCTGCGCTGATCTGCAGCCGGGAGTCAGAAGTTTTTTCCGGCACCCCACATAGGAGCAGGGTGCCAAGGCTTTGGGCCATCCTCTACTGCTTTCTCAGGTGACAAGGAGGAACTGGATGAGCAGTGTAACAGCCAGGACGTGAGCTGACACCCAAATGGGATCTCTGTGCTTAACAGGCAAGGGAGGGGGGATCAGCCAATTGAGTCACTGTGCGGGGCCCCACCTCTTATCTATCAGAATTCAACAGGTCAATGCGAATGTGTGATGGATGCAAAGAAAATGCTCCAAGTTTATTTTAATTCTGTGCTGGGGTCTGTGCAGTGGGTGTGGAGGACATGAAGGTGTGAAGAGAACTGTTCCATTGCAGGCAGGGCTGCAAGGAATTTCCTGCTGCATGGCAGGGCCCTGCGGATGTCTCTGCATCCACCTGAAGGCAGTTCCACCTCCGTTTGCATGGACACTGGAGCACCTCGCTGAGAATTCTGTAATCTATTCAGGCATTGTTTGTTTCTGTCTTTACTATCAATGTGAGCTTGGAAGTTGATGTTGCTGATAACACCTTGCAAAAGGGCCTTTTACAATTCATGCTGTCTCTGTCTCTGCTGCCCCCATTGACCATCCTTGATCTTTAGGTCCCTCCTTCTGTGATACATTTCCTCCCTTAACTGATTCAAGATTAAGTTGTAAAATGAGGCTTGTAGTAGGAATGTATTATTGATTGATATGCACAGTATATTAAGAACTTCCTGACCACAGGGTCAGGATGGATAACATCCTGCTGAAAGGTGAAACAAATGGCAGAATTATCCTTGGAAACATCCACTTGACCATGACGTAAAAAGTCTGTGCCAGAGCTGTGACTGCTTCTGTATAAATAAAGGGGACAGCTTTCTTGCATTGTTCATTATGATCATGAAATTGTAGTGATCCATTTCTTTTCTCTCTATGCCTACTCCACTCACCCTTCTCAAGTTCTGAACTCAGCTGGAGCTGGACTCCGGCAATTCTGATTCTATTTTAATTTTTCCATGGTGATGGGAAGACATGCTGCTGTTATGTCATACACTGAGTCAGTGCTATGTGAAGAGGGGAATTACGGCTCAGATTCAATCTGCTTGCCATTAAACAGCTCAGAACAGAGGAACAGCCCCGTGGGAAACACCGAGTTCAGAGGAGGTCTGTGTGCACTCATTCATCTCACAAGAAACCCAAGTGCTCCTGGCTGTCTCCCTCCTGAGTGTGACAGTGAACTTCCTCCTGCACCCCACCAGCTCCCCAGATCCTCAAACAAAAATGGTAGCAGACATTTATTTTCATTGTTAAGGCAGATTCACAGAAAGAGACAGAAAGATTTTTCATCTGATGGTTCACTCCCCAAATAGCCACAATGGCCAAAGCTGAGCTGATCCAAAGCCAGGAGCTTCTTCTGCGTTTCCCATGTGTGTGCGGGGTCCCAAGGCTTTGGGCTATCCTCCACTGCTATCCCAGGCCACAAGCAGGGGACTGGATGGGAAGTGGAGCAACTAGGACTAACCAGCAACCAGCTGGCTCTTATAGGTGGAGAATTACCCAACTAAACCATTACACTGGCCTCGGTGCTGATTCTTAAAAGACAGTAACATTGGGTTTTGTTTCTTTTTGGAGCTGAGAAGAGGGGAGTTTGTGGGAAGGCCCATGATAGAGATGGCATGGGATTAAAGGGCAGAGCTGTGTTAGCTGGGTCCATGCAGTCTCCCATCACCCAGCAGCAGTAGCGGCCTTGGCCTTGGCCATGAAAGAACAGAACAAAACCGGGTCCAGGGTGCAGCCTCCAGGTCAGGTCAGGAACCCTGTGGGGAGGAAGACAAAGTGAGCCTGGGCTGCTGACACTTCTCCCCTAAGTCCCAGGAGAGAAAACCTGCAGTGACAGACTGAGTCTTTTTTTTTTTTTTTTTTTAGTATCTTCACTGAAATGTTTTTATTCTCAAATGCTACTTATGACTGGAAACACAAAAAACCACGAATAGCTAGAACCATCCTGAAAAATAAGAAGTTAGCAGGGGGAATCACAATCCCGGACCTCTGGACATACTATAGAGCAGTGGTTATCAAAACAGCCTGGTACTGGCACAAAGACAGAAAGGAAGATCAATGGAATAGAATAGAAGCACCAAAAGGGAACCCACACAGATACAGCCAATTAATCTTTGACAAAAAGACCAATGACAGTTCAAGCAAGTGGGAAGGCCTCTTTAGTAAATGTTGTTGGGACAACTGGCTGATAGCCTGTAGAAACAAAAAGATAGACCCACATCTATCACCATACACTAAGATCCAATCTACATGGATAAAAGACCTAAACCTACATCCAGAAACCTTCAAACTCTTGCGAGACTGAGTCTTAACTTGATAGAAAGAAAAGTTCTTCCTGAGCTGGCATTGTGGTGCTGCAGGTTAAGACACTGCCATGCTGGATTGCTATCAGAGTGCTGGTTAGAGTGCCGGCTGCTGTGCTCTGCTGCCAGCCCACCTCCCTGATAGTGCGTCTGTGAAGGCAGCAGAAGGCCCTGCCACCCACGTGGAGTTCAGGCTTCAGCTTGGCTCAGCCCCAGTGGTTGCAGCCACTTGGTGGGTAAACCTAAGGAAACAAGATTTTTCTCTCTCTCTTTCTCTCTCTCTGTCTCTCTTTGTCACTGTGTCTTTCAAATAAATAATGTGGGCTTCATTCCTCCTTGGAGTAAAGGAGTGTTTTTCCCCAGAGCCACCAAAGGACCCAGCTGGAAGGTGAGGTTTAGGGCCCAGGGTCCCAGCATAGAGCAGCATCTACAGATGCAGCCTCCACAGCTTGGCCCCGCAGCAAGGAGGAGTGTTACCTGGTTACCGGGATCCTCGCTGAACTGCAATGAAAAGGAGAAAGGAAGATATTGAAGCCACTTTATAGGGACATCACTGCTCCACCCAACCCTGCATCTCCCACTGCCTGTCATCGCACAGTCCCCTGGGTGACTCTGGGTGGTACAGACTGTGTGATCAATTGTGCCAAGGACACGGCCTGGGGACTCCTCCCCTTCCCCCACCATTGGCCATGGCCACCAGAACTCTGCATTGGTTAACATGGAAGATGGGTGAGGCAGCCAAGCCTTGGTCCCCTCTTGGGCTGGCTTACCTTTCTTGCTCTTCCTGTGCATGAAGACGCCCACTGCAAGGAAGACGAGCCCCAGCACCAAGCCCCCGACTCCAGTGAGCATCTTGCTCCGGGCCAAGTCAGACTGTGCCTCTGCAAGAGTGGAGTCCAGGGTGAGCCTTGCCCCTCCCCACTGTGGCCTTGCTCAGGTCCTGCCCGAGTTCCCAGAGGGACATCTTGGGGAAGGACCTCTAGGGACAGTGTTGGGGTGCAGAGGTGAAGACACCACTTGAGATACCCACATTCTATCTTAGGGTGCTGGGTCTGTTTCCAACGTGGCTTCCCACTAAGGTGCGTCTTGGGGGCAACAGTGATGGTTCAAGTACTTGGGTCCCTGCCACTCACACAGGAGAACATGAATAGTTCCTGGCTCAGTTCAACCAAAGTCAGCGGGCATTTTCAGACATTTGGGAGGAGTGAACCAGTGGGTAGGAGATCTCTGTTTTGATCTCTCTTTCTTCCCAATAGTAATTAAAACAAACAAAAACAGGAAAGACCTGTTAGAGAAAAACAAAGAGGATTACCAGTTCTGGATCTTAGGCTTAGCAAAAAGGGGACAAATGCCAATTCTGCCAGCTGCCTTTCAAAGCAATGCCAAATAGGCTAAAAACTGAAGGAACTGGGTCCAGGGTGGTAAGCTAATTCTCAGCACCATGTGGGTGCGGTTCATGTTCTGGCTCCACTTCCAATCCAGCTTCCTGCTAATGTGCCTGGGAAGGCAGTGGAAGATGACCCAATGCCCTGTGTGGGAGACCTGGAAGAAGCTCCTGGCTCCTAGGTATGGCTGTTTGTGGCCACTTGGAGAGTGAACCAGTAGCTGGAAGATCTCTTTGTCTCTGCCTCTTTCCGTTAACTCTGAGTTTTAAAAGAAAATTATACATAAAAAAGAACAAAGCTGAAGGAAGAGAACAGTTGCTACATATGAGGGCAATCCAGGAAAATTTTCTGGGATTTTCTGACAAAAGGGGAACAACCGAATCCTCAGGATTCCCCCCACACTGGGGACAGGTGAGTCTCCATTGCCCTGGGCTCAGGATTGGCCTCAGAACTTGTACAGGGAAGCTACAGATCTGGGTATACCTTAGTGCATACCCCCATATGCCACGAGCACCTGCTCTTCAGAATGCCATTGAAAGCCACTTACTCCAGTCCACCGTGATGGGGCTGTCCAGGCTGGGGTGCTCCACGTGGCAGGTGTACACGTCCCCCGCATGAGGGTTCATCTCCAGCATCACCAGGATCTGGAAGGTCCAGTCCCCATTCCGGATCAGGTTGGTGGACACGACCCCGTCGGTTTCCTCCTGTCCGTTCAGGAACCACCGGACTTGAAGGTCTCCTGGGTAGAAATCTGTCACGTGGCAGACGAGCAGGTGTTGGTGCTGTGAAGACCCCTTCTTGGAGGGGGAGACGTTCACTTTGGGCCGGACTGGGAGTGGGGGACAGTAAAGGAATGACATGTGGAATTGTTATTACCTAGACCTTTTCACTAGGAAGTGCCTTCACATGCTTAAGATGCGTCATAAGAAGGAGCGTGGGAAAGGAATCAGTGGAAAGCACCAGAGCTCCAAGTGGAACGGACATGACCCTGAGCCACACTGCAAAGCCTGGGAGTGCTGGGGCAAGAGCAGCACTCCTTGAAACCTTCCCTCTGAGCTTCCAGTGACTTCTTGACTGTTTCTGCATCTGTGAAATCCTTCCCCCTCTCTCTCTCCTTTTGCTCTATGTTGATGTGAAGGATGCAAATTCACTCAAACCCTTTCGTGATCTTCATCTGTAACAGACAATGGCACTTTCTCAGTGTCTTTCTAATGATTTTATAGCATCTAGCAAGTATGATGCTCACTGATTTTTAATACAAGCTACATATTTTATGGCTTTCCTACCTTTCAAAACTTCACTATTTTCATGTTTACAGTAACAACCCCAAACCTGGTCTGCTGAGCCCCCACCTGCTTGATTAGCTGGAGTTTCAGAGCGTTCCTCGGTCCCTCCTCTGCAGGATCCCTTCTGGCGTGTTGGGCGTGCTCCCTGCAGGGAGCAGGTGCCTTCTGCACCTCTATTTGTTGTCAGTTCCCCTCTTGCTGTCCACTTCCTGTGGTCTCCCCACACTTCCTGCAGTGCCCACTTTGGCTCTCTCCTCTGGGGAGGCCAGACGACCCACTTGTGTCTAGAGGAACACCTGTTTGGAGGAATTTCCCAAGTGGCTGTGCCTTAATAACTTGGCTCTGTCATTCCCCTGTCCCTCTTCCCGGAGAATGGTGGACCTGGGTTGGTGAAGGCGTGTTTCTGAGCCACCTTTTCCTTAGTGACCTTTTGTCATGCAGACTCATCCATTCCCAGCCTCGTCTACCTGAGGTGATCTGCTTTCAGGGACACCTTTTTACCTCGATGACTTTGGTAAATTCACACTGTCAGGCAGTTCAGCTCCTGTCTGTGTGTCAGTTGTGAATCAGATTCAGTTTCTCCTCCTTATGGCTCCTAGGTCTCATGCAAACAAGAGGATATGCCTGGAGGTCTGTTTTAAGCCCCAGAACTTTCCATGCTGACACCTGTCTGCAGCACACACTTGGCATCCAGGGGGCGCTGGCGCCACGTCTAGCGATGCAGAAGTCTCCTGCCCATCCAGCTCAAAACACGCTTCACAAAGGCCGGAGATTACTAAGCGCCGCCTCGTTGAAAGCCCTCAAACATCCACTCACTCACCTCTGGAATCCTGTAGGGTCTCTACATGGGAATTTTCACAGCTCTCGCTCTCCCTGTCCCATGGTAAGTCATGCCCTAATGGTCAATCCCTATACGACTGTAACATCATTTAGTTCTGTTTCCAGCCCCCTTCCCTTCACATTTCACACCTTCTGCAAACACAGTGCTGATCTTCTAATTTGCTTCAAAACCAGACCCCAAAATAAAACCTATCCTGGGTCTGGTGACACTTTACTGGTCACACAGGGGGCTGATAAGAGTGTAGATTCTCTGGGCAATGATTCTGGAGGAATCTGTGCCTTAAAACCTATCCTGGAGCTGGTGCTGTGGCCTAGCAGGTTCGAGTCCAGGCAGCTCCATTTTCCAATCCAGTTCCCTGCTAATGTACCTGGAAAATCAGCAGAGCATGACTCAAGTCCTTGGGATTGTGTACTTATGTGGGAGAAGCTTCTGTTTGGCTTCTGGCCTTAGACCAGCCCAGCAGCAGCTGTTGAGGCCATCTTGGGAGTGAAGCAGCAGATGAAAGATCTCTGTTTCTTTTTGTCTTTTTCACCATAACATTGCCTTTCAAATACGTAGGTTTTTTTTTTTTCCCAAAAAGGTCTTCGTGAGATTCTTTTTAGCAGAACTAACTGGAGACCCCACTGGTCTGGCAGATCAGCCCAGCGGGCATCCAGGGCCCTCTGGGATAGGAGTCTCCACCTGTGCTGAAGGCCTGCCTTGGGTCCCTCCCTGTTAGTCCCTGATAGCCTCCCACCCTGTATATGCTGTCAGGGCCGGCTCTTCCCGCCCATCCTTTAACTCCTCTGACTCTCCCCACGTCTCCCCTCTCCTTCCTTCACCCTTGGACCTCCTGATAGAACAGCAGATTCAGCTCCCATTCCCCACACCAGCCATGCAGTGTCCAAGGCCAGCTGTATGTCACCTGCACGAGGGGCCTAACTGGGCCTTACCCGCCCCCTCTTTCCAACCCATGCAGCCAGCTTCTGCTCTCCTAGTCTCCCTGATTGCTGTGCCACACTCCAGCCTGTCTGCCCATCGCACAAGTCCCTGTCCAGTGTCTGTGGTGCTGTTCTTTTTCTAAGAGCTCTCCTCCCTCTTCCATTCTCTCTCAGCAGCACCTTGCTCCTCGGGATCCTGCCCCTGTGCCCTTCCCATTGCACCCTGCATTCAGGTCCAGGGGGAGCTCATTGGGCTTCCCTGCTGCTGCACACCCTACATCTCCCCCTCACGAGATACCCCAAATGGTCTCAAGGCTGGAGCTGAGCTGATCCAAAGCCAGGAGCCAGGAATCTCCTCCAGGTCTACCACGTGGATGTAGTGGCACAAGGCTTTGGGCCATTCTCTACTGCTTTCCCAGGCCACAGGCAGGGAGCCAGAAGGGAAGTGGAACAGCTAGGGCATGAGCTGACACCCATATGTGATGTGGGCATTGCAGGTGGAGGATTACTGTACTATGAGTGCCAGCAGCTGCAATTTATTTTTGTTGTTGTTCTGTAGGTACAGGGGTATCTGCTGCCCTTCAGTGTCCACACCCCACTCTTCTTAGCTGCGTGTGTGTAGGGTGGGGCACCGGATCTGTGCAAGCTCCAGCCCGGCCCTAGCCACCAAGCACCCTTCCCGCCCGAGACTGTCCTGTCACTCAGCCGGCCTGGCTGGCTCCTCAGCTGCCCCCACAGGCCCGCAGCCTCACCTCGGCGCTGCACGGTGAGACTCTCCAACTCTTGGTAGCTCTCTCTGCAGGCACTGTCCACCTTGGCCCGCGTAAGCCCCAGCTCTTCCAGGTTCAATTTGTTCAATCGCTCGGTGATCAGGCGACCGAGCTCGGTGACGGCGTGGAACCCCCAGGCCTCGCTGTCGAAGTACAAGAACTCCTCTCTGTTATAGACGTATCTTATCATTAGGCGCTGCGTCCCGTTGAAGGTGTAGTAGCATTCTACAGATACCTGACACACGTGGTTCTCTGCCGGGAATGGAGACACTACTAAGCTGGGATCCCGGCTCCCCAGCGACCCCACCGCCCAATGTTTCCAACTCAACTTTGTTATCCGAAGCTCCGAACACCCATGGTCATGGTGCCAGGTTGCGGGCTTATTCCACACAGCGCCTGGTTGCTCTCCAGCACTCAACCCCACCCCCCGCATTAAAAAAAATAGAATAATAATAATAATAAAAAAAGATTAGAAAGGAGGGCTGCTGTGGAGGAGCAGGACTGGCCTGGCGCTGGACAGTGCTGACCCCTCACTACTGTTGCCATTAAGATTACCAGAGTTGGGGGTCACAGGGAGAGTTCTGTCCTAACTTGCCTCTCCCCGGAAGTGGCTGCTGGCAAAGGACCAAGGGGAAGAGTGCCTGTGTCAGGGACCCTGAGTGTACAGGGCAGTGTGAGATTGCCTTCCTCCTCTACAGCGGCTCTTAGTCCCAGCCCCTGAACCCCGCCCCTGGGCTCCAAGTCCCCCTGGGTCCAGATCCCTTCTTCCTGCGATGGCCACTGGCCAGTCCCCATGACAGTTGCCAGCTTTGATCTGTTTGTCCCTGCTCCTCATTTATGAATAAGGGAACATTTTTCATTCTAGAAAAATAATTTTGAAAAAATTTTGGTGGCATTTAAATTTTTAAATAGTATTTTACTGCAAAACAGGCATAAGTGATGACTTGATTGTTGTATGTTTAAATCATTCATTTTTGTGTGATGAGAAATTTACACTGTGCAGCTCTTGAGCACTGATCTGTTCTAATTGAACTCACGACTTGGTGAAACAGGGTTAAACTGATAAGTCGTAAGGTATGGGGAACAGGGTGACACTTCAATACATGCACACAAGCTGGAATGATCCGATCGGGGTAGTCACATACTCATCACCTCAAACATTCTTCATTTTTTCTTAATATTGGGAGTGTTAAAAAACCTACAAGTTATTTTGAAATACAAAATTAATTGTTGTGGTTACCATAGTTACTGAATAGTAGAAATTATGCGTTCTATCCAGTTGCATCTTGATCTTGGAGAACCAAACCAACCAAACAACAAACAAACAAAAAACAACAAAAACAAACAAATTGCAAGGGCTGGTGCCATGCTATAGCAAGCTAAGCCTCTGTCTGCAATGTCAGCATCCCATATGGACATCAATTCAAATTCTAACTGCTTCACTTTTGATCTGGCTCCTTTTTAATGAACTGGGGAAATAGCAGATGCTGGCTCAAATCCTAGGCCCCTGCACCCTCGTGGGACACTGGGAAGAAGCTCCTGGTTCATGGCTTTGGATGGACCCAACTGCAACTGTTGCAGCCACTTGGGGAAGTGAACCAGTGGATGGAAGATCTCTTTCTTTCTAATTCTATTTCTTTTAAAATTAATTAGTTAATTATCCAATGATTTTTACATAGTTAACTAGGGTGATAAGGGTCAAGGGTTACAGGAAGGTGGGTGACACCATTATTTCCACATTCTCTTGTTTTTCTTCCTGTATCTGGGGGAAGGGGGAAGAAAAGGGGAGAAACCACACCCAGCCTCCCAAACACTTCTGCACCCTGGGATGGAGGACAGCCACCTGACACCACCCCATGGTTCCGATGTGGGGCATGCTCTGAGGGTCCTGCTTATGAGGTTTGATAGTTCAACTGTTCTGAATTACTGCCAATCTCACCACTCCAAGCACAATGAAATCGCTTCAGAATCCACTGATTGACATAGTCCACCTTAGAGTCTGCCCAGATATTCACTGCTAACACTTGGCTAGGGTAGTTGATCAATTTGTTCTGTCCTTTGTCTTCTGTTATGGTACCAGGTGTCCTCTGCAGGCTCCAATGTACTGCTGTATCCTCCATGTGTACCTTCATGTGTATCCTCCATGTGTACATGCTGTCCACTGCTCTATCTAAGCCACTGAGGAGGCCAGCTCTGACATATGCATTCCATGGTCAGACCCTGGCACTTGTAATTCTCTCTATGGCTGGGGTTCTGAGTCCAGCAGTTCAGTTGGGGGGATTCTTAAAGAAACTTCATGTGAGGTGATCCCAGACCTGATTCTTGTGTGTTCTTGCCAATACAGAGTCCGGCACAATCTGTCGCCCCAATCAGCTTATGCATATGCTGGTGGTTGCAATTGTTTGATTAGGTCTGTACTCAGCCCTGTCTTCTACATGAACCAATGGGTGTTACAGTCCAGCCCAATCCTGCCACTTCATACTTGGCCCTCACACAAACCAGTAGGAGTTGCAACCTGGTTGGAGCAACCCACTATAACTGCCACCAGGCCTGCCTCCTGCATTGGTTCCCATGCTTGCCAGTATATACAGCAGACTGGTCCAATCTGTCCCACATCCCATTTAGCTGTCATACACGTCAATGAGCATTGAAGCCTAGCTCAATCCAACCAGCCCCCTACTATCCAGCACACACATGTGCCTGTGGGTACCACTCTGTTTAGGCATGACTGCCCCTAACCTTGGTTCTCATGTTCACCAGTCAGAGTGGCAACCCAAAAGGGAGGTGCCCACTATTTCTCTACTGGGCCCACTCCCACTCCCAAATCTTGCACTCTCCAGGTGGTTCTGCAGTTTAACTTGACAGAGTTTCCCCCCCACCCCCTGCTCCGTACCATGCCAGCATCTGCCAGCTGATGTTGCGGCAAAGCCCAACCAACCCACACCCACTCTGGCTTATGCATGCACTGGTAGGAACAGTCAACCCAGCCTGGCTTTCCCCTGATTCAGCTCACATATAAGCCACCAGGTCTTATAGCCATGCCCAGCCTGTTTTACCCCATCCCAGCTCTCACACTCACCAGTGGAAGTGGTGGCCCAGCAGGGGAGCCCCAAGCAGCTCCCCTACCAGGTTTGACTCCTAACCCTTGGATCTCACCCCTTGGATCTCATGTGTGCTGGTTGGGTGCTGCAGCCCTGTCTGGCATGGCCACCTCATCTCAGCATTTGCCAGTGGGTGTTGTAGCCTGGCTGAGCCTTGTCTACCCCCAATTCCTGCTCACGCTGGTGAGGGTTACAGCCTAGCCCAGTCCAGTCAGCCTTCAATCCTGGCCCTAATGTGAACTGGCCTGCATTGTGGCCCAACCTGGTCTGACCCACACTCTGTTCTGGTGCTCAGATTCTCCAGCAGGTGATATGAACTGGTCCAGCCTGGCTCGCCCCTGACCTGTGCCAAATGTATGCCAGTGGGTACCATTACCTGGTCTGGGCTGCTCCCTATTGTGGTTCTTGTGCTCACCTGCAGGGACTGTGTCCTGACAGAGGAGTTTCCCAAGCTCTTCTATCAGAACCTCTCCCAGTGCCTCAGCTCACGAACACCAGTTGGTTCATGGGCCAGCTCTACCCCACCTCCTGTCCTGGTAGGAACAGTGGCCTTTCCTGATTGGCCTTCACCCCATTCTGGTTCTTACTGTTGGTTGGATGTTTCAGCCCAGTCAAGGTTCATCCACACACAGACATTGCTTATACGTGGCTCAGCAGGGGCAGAGACCTAGCCCAGCCTGTCCTACACCTATCCTGGTTCTCACAAACACCAGTGGGTACTGGAGTCTAGCCCAGTCTGGCACATCTCAGATCCAACCCACACTTGTGCTGAGGGGCACTGTAGCCATGTCCATGCCAGATAGCAGCCCCACTTCGGCACTCACACTAACCAGTGGGCACCACAACCCAGCTAAGGCATCCCCTTAGCTTCCCAACCAGGCTTATTCTCAGTAATAATCTTGTTCGTGCCAGTGTTGCTCTGACCCAGCTTGACATATAGTCCCTTACCTGTCTTGACCTTTGCCTTTGAATATTGTAGCCTAGGCTGATCCAGCCTGCCCCCAGTCCCAACTCTTGCTGGCAGGTGCTGGAACCTGGCCCTGCTCAGTCTGTTCCCATCCCTGGCTCATGTAAACCAGTAGATGTGGTAGTTTAGCCTGGCATGATCTGCGCTTCAGCCTGGTTTCTGCACTTGCTGATGAGCTGTTTGCCTGACCCTGCCTGGTCCACCCGTCTCCAAATCCAACCCACACATTTGCCAACGGTTGGAGCTATTTTGCCCAGCTTGCCTGAACCCCAGGCCTGGACCATGTGCTCACCAGTGGGAGCTATGACCCACTAGGGGTGTTTCTCATGTTCCTCCATTCGGCCCACTCCCAGATTCAGATCTCATGCATGCCAGCAGGTGTTAGGTCCTTACCCAGAATAACCTGCCTCCTCTGTCTTGGCCTTTATATGAGCTGGTGAATGTTGCGGCCCAGCCTGCCTTTCACCCTGTTTTAGGATACACATGTGGGTGCTGCAGTCTGGATCTGCCCAGACTATTCTCAGTCCCTGTACCCATGAGTGTTGGTGGGTTCCATGGTCACACCTAGCTCAGCCCATCACCATCCCACTCTTGAGCTGATCAATGGGACTTGTATTTCCACAGGGTTGGGTCCACACATTCCCCACAGAATATATCCTCAGACGTGGTTCTCTCACGTACTGGTTAGTGTCGTGGCCCGGTCTAATGTGACCTATCCCCTGTTCTGATATTCAGTCAGGTACTGGGATATAGTCCTGCTAGATAGGCCTGCAGCTCTAGCTTTCATGTGGACTGGTGTGTGGTGGTCAGCAATGTTCCATGCTAACAAGCCCAACTCAGGATTCCCATGTGGGCTGGTATATGAGTCTGATCCATACAGATCTTCCAGTCTCTCCCCTCCAAACCACCAGATCTCAGTCCCCTAGCTTACCTATAAGTATAGTGGCCCTGTCATTGGGTGTCCCTCAGGATTCATTCCTCACCTACACGTACTGTGGCTTTATTCATGGATGTCCCTAGGCAGTAATTCCAGACCCCCAAGATCCCAGAGCTCTCTGCTGGGTGGCCAGTGGGTGAGGCCCAGTGCCAGTTGGCACTCTGGCTGCCCACAAGCCCAGGATTCATCCCCTGCTTGGCAGGAGTAGATGGAGAGATTGGATCCTGAGCAGGAAGCCTGGCCTGGCATGGGTTCCGGCTATTAGCCACATGGCTGGAAGAATAAGGCCTCTAAGCACTGTAATTCTATCTTTTAAATAAAATAAATAAATCTTTAAAAATGCAAGAGAATATCATGTTGACAAGATGGCATAAAAAACAATCATGTTACAGGTACGGGTGCAAGTCCCCACACTACAACTTATTACTATGTGATTCTGGGCAAACTAACAAAAGAACAAAAAACTTTCTAAGTCTCCATTCCTGAAAGGTAACATCTGAAACACACCATTTACCTGGAGAACTGCTGTGGGAACAGAGTGAATCAACATGTGTGAACTTTGCAGCCTGTATTTGGCTTTGCTCACTGAAGTTGGTCCCTTCTTTTCAATTGCAAATTCTGAAGACCTTCCCAGGAGGGATGGGCTATTTTAGGCCACCTGTCACTGGGAACCAAGGGAAGCTGCCCTGGGGACCAGCCTCCTTCTGTTGTGTCTTCCCACTTCTCTCTCAGCTTAGTGATTTTACTTGGGATAGTAAAATAGAGAATAAGTAAAACAGAATAAGCCTCACCTGAGGCTTCATGTGAACATGAGCTTATGCAAGGATCCAGCCACAAGGGTGTGGTCAAAAGCTCCAGTGTGGAAGCAGTCATCATAAAAGTCTGTCACTGTCCAAAGGACTCTATCTCCATAGTCTGGTTCCTCTGAGCCCTGTGTATTACCTCAAGTCATGCTCACTAGGGGTTATCTCCACTAAACATTACTTTCCCCAGACATGTCTAAGGCAAAGCCTGCTCTGTCACTGCTGGTGAGCAAAGAGCAGGAGAGCCAGTTCTCTCATGGGGAAAGAGGGACTGTGGGCAATGGCAGGACCTGGCACAGACTTTCTCAGAAAGTGGCTCCTTAAAGGAAAGGCCTCTAGGATGTGTTCCCCAAATCAGACCCTCGGGGAGTAGCCGCTTGGCTCTTACCTGGAGTGGCGTTGCCCTGGGCTGAGAGCCTGAGTAGCACCATCAGTAACATGGCCAGAGATGCGGATCTCATGGGCCGGCAGGGCTTCATGGTGCTGGAGAAGGGTGGCAAGATGGTGAAAGGAACAGCTGAGGAATAAAGAGCCTGTCTGAAATATCAGAGCTAGTCTGGACCAAATAAGTTCCTTGCAACCTTGGTATTGGATAGACTCTGAGAAGAGAACCAATGGCTCTGGGCTTGACATGAGTCATTGCTCACTGGGCAGAGTGTGGAAGGTCTGATTATCTAAAGTGTATGCTGCACTTGAGATGACAGATAGAGGGCACTGCTACTCACTTTAACCAATGGAGTAAATCACAAGGTTTGGGGAGATTATGCGGGGCTTTTCTTGTTGTTGTTGTTCTGAAGGCAATCTCAATTGCTAGCATTCAGTTGGTTCACCTGTGGGATTATCACTGCATTCTCGCTGCCACCTATCACACTTCTGGATATAGTCGGGGGTAGAAGAAGTACTCTCTTGCTATGTCGAAGGCTTTCTGTGGCACGAATCATAGAAAAATTAGAGTACACATCACAGAACTTGAGGTGGGGCTGGTGCTGTAGCGTTATGAATAAAGCTGCTGCCTGCAATGCTGACATTCTATATTGGTGCCAGTTCAAGTTCTAGCTGCTCTATTTCTGATCCAGCTCCCTGTTAAGTCCCTGGGAAAGCAGCAGAAGGATGATTATTTGCTGTGCCCCTGCGCCCACATAGAAGAATAGGAAGAGGCTCCCAGCTGCTGGCTTTGGACCTGCCCAGCTCTGCCTGCTGCAGTCATTTGTGGAGTGGACTTCTTTCTGTTAAAAAAAAAAAAAAGCAAAAAAATCCCCAAGAATTCAAAGTGAGTCTTACTGTCTGTCTGTCTTTTCTTTGAGCAAGGAGGGGTTTAGAGTTAGCAGTCAGCCACACCTCTTGCTCTCAGAGACCTGCATAGATCCAAAGTCCTCCACAGAACTGCCATCTGGGCTGCCTGGGCTTGGTCCATCCTCAAACCTGGGTGAATGGACATGCCAGCAACACTACCAAGTAAGGATGTAGCTCTAAGGAGAGTGCCATTTTTGGATTTCAATCCCTTGTTTTCATTATGAGAGGAAATATATTTTTTATAGTAATGCTCTTAAGATCAAATGAGACAGATATCTGAAATAGCTTTAGAAAGTAAGTCCATAAAAAATAAAAATAAAGAATAAAGAGGAAATAAAATAAAGAAATAGAAAGTAAATTAAGAAGAAAATTAAACAACAGTACCACCAAAAGACCTCCTTAGAAACATCTGATTCTGCTGTATTTATAGTGAATACTTTTCACAAACTTTCAAATAGCATTACTATTTTAGAAGCTTGAAAAGGTGGTCCTCTTAACTACGGATACTAATAAAGAAAGTGCCAAGCTGGTGTTATTTCTTCAAAAATATATTAATATATAAACAAAACACTAGCAACTAAAATACCAGAGGTAGAAAGAAAAACTACATAGCATAAGGTGTCTGTTAAGAATGAGGAGTTTATGGGCCCGGTGCAGTAGCCTAGTGGCTAAGGCCCTTACATTGCAGGTACCAAGATCCCATATGGGACCTGGTATAATCCTGCAGCCCTGCTTCATATCCAGCTCCCTGATTGTGGCCTACGAAGGCAGGAGAATCAAGATGGAGGAAAGAGTAAGGACACATTTAAACAGAGAGGAAAACATTTCATCAGGGTGAAGCAGAGAGGGCATATTTCAGGAACTAGAATAGGACAGAACAACAGCAGAGGGGTACCTGGAGACTGACAGACACAGAAAAACAATGGACACAATGGTGTGGTGTTGCAGTGACTGATAATCCAGCAGTGTTCAGTGAGTGGGGATCTGAACTCCACCAGCAGCCAGAACTCCACCAGCAACCAGATGGGAAGGGACTTTCACTGGGAGTTTGGGAGGTGAACAAAGAACCATCCATCCTGCTAGTCCTTTTGATTTGACCAGGAGCAGAGACAGAGCAGCAGATTCCAGATGGGCAGTGCAAGGACAGGGTGAATTTCATAGCCCAGTCAGCCTCTAGAGCCAAATTGAGTGCCATTTTGCATAAGGAGGAAAAGGCAAGGGAAAGGACTGAGCATAGTCTTACCTGGTAGTAAACTCATTTCTGACTCAGTGAACTGCAACAAGGTGGCATCCTACAGGTTCCACCCAAGATAGGTCTGAGTAGCCCTCAGACTGTGAATTCGTACCAGTCAAAATAGGTCCATGTGGCTCTCAGACCTAATGTCCAACAGGTTCCAACAAGAGCAGCACCACCAACAACCTAGGTATATAGGAACCTGATGTCTCCCTAATCCTGAGACCTGCTCCAACCTGAAGTGGGAGAAAGTTTGCAGAGACAACAGTGCCACCTCAGCACAGTATCACAGGAGGTGGAGCGTGGTGAGCCAGGAGCTGAGGCTACAGAGACCATGGTGGAAATCTAACATAAGAACCCAGACCTGGAACTCACTGGAGGTTGTGGCACAAGTGGCTGCAAGCAAAGAGTTGTGTACCAACCGCAATAAGTAAAATTACAGTGGAGACCTGTGGGTGACACAGCTTAGAAACCTGCCCCAAGGAGAAGACTCTGCTAACCAGAAGTGCAATGATCAAGAGCAAAAGAAGAGACAAAGGCACAATGAATATTACTGAAGACTCTCCTTAAAGGGAGCAAAACCCTATGGCAACCTCAGAGTTCATTGAGGAACACATCGAGAAAATGGGGGACACAGAATACTAAACACTTATTATAAAACTTCTTATCAACAATGGAAAGCATGTAAAGTAGGCATTCAAGCACTTTAAAAATTATGTCACACTGGAAATGAATCAAATGAAAGTTGATATATCAGAAATTAAGAATACAGTAGAGCAAATTAAAAGTACAGTGGAGAGTCTCCAAAGTAGAATGAAGCAAGCAGAAGAAAAAATCTCCGAATTGGAAGATATCTTCTGTCCCCAGGGAGAAACAAGCAAAAAGTTGGAAGCAGAACTGGATCAAGCCACAAAAAGTATTCAAGAATTGAAAGACGGTATTAAGAGGCCAAATTTAAGAGTTATGGGAGTCGGGCCCGGCGCGGTGGCGCAAGTGGTTAAGGTCCTCGCCTTGCACGCCCTGGACCCCATATGGGCACTGGTTCTAATCCCAGAGGCCCCGCTTCCCTTCCAGTTCCCTGCCTGTGGCCCGAGAAAGCAGCAGAGGACGGCCCAAAGCTTTGGGACCCTGCACCCACGTGGGAGACCCGGAAGAGGCTCCTGGCTTTGGATCGGCATAGCATCGGCCATTGCGCTCACTTGGGGAGTGAATCATCGGACGGAAGATCTTCCTCTCTGTCTCTCCTCTCTGTATATCTGCCTTTCCAATAAAAAATAATAAAAAAAAAAATCAACCTTAAAAAGAAAGAGTTATGGGAGTCTCAGAAGGTGCAAAAAGAGAAACTGGTTTTACAAATATATTTAATGAAATAATAAAGGAAAATTTACCTAATCTGGAGAAAGAATTGGAAAACAAGATCCAGGAGGGGCACAGAACTCCCAACAGGCCTGATCAAAATGAAAAACCACAATAGAAAATCAGCAACAGTAAGAAGAAAAAAAAAAAAAAAGAAATTAACAACACCAAGAAGTTAAATGACATGCTATTAGATGACTCATGTGCAGCTGAATAAATGAAAATCAAGAATCTTCTTGAAGAAAATGATGCCACTGTATGATCTATGAGTTACTGAAGAATTTAATCAGAAGAAGAAAGTGTTTCGAAGAGATGAAACTAACAAAAAAATCAAAATCCATGAGATACAATTTCTGCTAATCTTTGTTGGTGAAATGTGTCTCCTATAGGCAACAAATAGATGGGTTTTGTTTTTAATCCAGTCTACTAATCTATGATGGTTGATTGAGCTTAAGTCATTTACCTTCAGGGTTAATATGTATGCTTGGTACTTTGGTCCTGTCATTTTAGGAATGGGTTGTTCATTGGTTTGGTCTTCCTTGTTATTTTACTGAGATGTTCTTCACATTTGCCTTTGGGTTTGATTTTGTTTTCGTGCTATTCCTCTTCTCTGTCAAGAGAACATCTTAAATTATCATTTACAGGGCAGGTTTGAAAAAGGCAAATTTGTTTAGCTTTTCTTTGCTGTGGAAGAATTTTATTTCATTTTCAAAGACAAAAGAAAGCTTTGCTGGGTATGTTATCCTAGGCTGACAATTTTTTTTCTTTTAGAATCTGGAATATGTCACTCCATTCTCTTCTGGCCTGTAGAGTTTCCTGTGAGAGATCTCCTGTGAGTTTAATTGGCATTCCTTTATATGTCAATTGATTTTTTTTTTCATGTGCACATTTAAGGATCTTTTCCTTATGTTTGATTGAAGAGAGCTTGATAATCATGTGTTTTGGTAAAGATTGTTTTTGATCAGGCCTGTTGGGAGTTCTGTGCCCCTCCTGGATCTTGTTTTCCAATTTTTTCTCCAGATTAGGTAAATTTTTCTTTATTATTTCATTAAATATATTTGTAAAACCAGTTTCTCTTTCTGCACCTTCTGAGACTCCCATAGGTCTTAAATTTGGCCTCTTAATAGCGTTTTTCAATTCTTGAATACTTTTTGTGGCCTGATCTAGCTCTGCTTCCAACTTTTTGCTTGTTTCTCCCTGGGGACAGGAGATATCTTCCAATTCGGAGATTTTTTTTCTTCTGCTTGCTTCATTCTATTTTGGAGTCTCTCCCCTGTACTCTTAATTTGTTCTACTGTATTTTTTTTATTATTATTACTTTTTTTTCTTTTTTTTTTTAATTGATTACATTGCATTATGTGACGCAGTTTTATAGGCACTGGATTCCCCCCACCCCTCCCCAAACACCCCCATGGTGGATTCCTCCATCTTGTTGCATTACCACAGTTCAAATTCAGTTGAGATTCTTTCATTGCAAGCATATACCAAGCATAAAGTCCAGTATCTTATTGTCCAGATAAGTTCAACAGTTTCTTGGGGAGATCATCTCTGGTCTAAAAGTAGAGCCAGCAGAGTATCATCCCGGTCAACTA